ATGGCTTTTTTGGTGGTTAATTTGAGATAAGAGTCTCACAGACTTTTCTGCCGGGACTGGCTTCAAACCATAATCCTCAGAACTCAGCCTCCTGAGTAGCTAGGAATGAGCCCCCAGCACCCACCTAGTTATTCTATTTTTGTGCAATGTTCTATTTAGAGAAATAAATATAAGTGCATAATTTTATGCATTTTCTAATATAGTTTGTTGACTATGCAGACATGAATTTATTTCACTTTTTTTTTTGGGGGGGGGGGGTCCAGTCGTGGGGCCTGAACCCTGGGCCTGGGCGCTGTCCCTCAGCTCTTCAGCTCAAGGCTAGCGCTCTACCACTTGAGCCACAGCTCCACTTCCAGCTTTTTTCTTTTTGCTTATGTGGTGCTGAGGAATTGAACCCAGGGCCTCAGGCATGCAAGGCAAGCGCTCTACCACTGAACCACCTTCCCAGCCCCTTATTTCACTTTTTATTGGAGTAAAATGCACATGTAAAAATTTCCCAAGGGCTGGAAAGGTGGCTCAGTGGTAGAGGGCTTGTCTTGCATGCATGAGGCCCTGGGTTCGATTCCTCAGCATCACATAAGAAGAAAAAGCCAGAAATGGCGCTGTGGCTCAAGTGGTAAAGCGCTAGCCTTGAGCTGAAGAGCTGAGGGACAGTGCCCAGGCCCAGAGTTCAGGCCCCACAACTAACCAAAAAAAAAAAAAATCCCACTGTAACCATTTTATGGCTACTGTTCAGAGGTGTTATATATGCTCACACTATTGTGAAGTGTGGATGAAAACATGTGTCCCTCTGTAGATATTTTCACCTTCCCAAACAGACACTGGACCCATTAAAAATAACTCCCACCAAGTAATAGCCTGTAGCATGTACCTGTAATCCTGGCTGCTCAGGAAGCTTGAGAAATGAAGGATCAAAATTCAAAACTAGCCTGAGCAGAAAAGTTCTCAAGACTGTCTGGAGGTGTGGCTCAAGTGGAAGATCACCAGTTTTGAACAAAATGAGAGTCTCAGTACTGAATTCAAGCCCCAAAATTGGTAAGACAAAACAAAATCAAACCACACTCTCCTCTATATCTGATGCTAGGCAATTACTACTAAGAAATTAATTATTTTCAGGTGTCTGGTGAGTTTTCCCCCCTCCCTTCAAAAAAGAAACAATGCATAGACTTCATTAATTTTTTTTCTTCAATTGAAGTATTCGATAAGCCATATAAGTTTAGAAACCACTACCCTCCGTGTACATTTTTTAGTTCAGACAGTTTTGTATGATATTAATAAGGAATGCTAATATAAAACCAATAAATTTTTATTACTGAAACACTGTGTTCTATAACTATAAAACATGATCTGTTGTCTGCAATTATATACTCTAAAATAGCTCAGACAATAACCTGCCCTTCTTTTCACAAATTATTCCAAATGCCTGTGTCAGTAATGCCCATTAAGAAGGATTAGTAGCTGGATGCTAGTAGCTCACACCTGTAATCCTAGCTATGCAGGAGGCTGAGTTCTGAGGAAGACTGGAGCCAGAAGTGGAGGTATAGCTCAAGGGGAAGCCGAAAAAGAGTGTGAGGCCCTAAATTAAGCCCCAGTGTGTACACACACACACACACACACACACCCCAGAGCCATTTTAAAAGGCAAGAGGGAAAAGGGGGAAAAATCGCCACATTTCAAATAACCAAGCATTTAAGTAGTTAAAAAGACCAAGGATTTGGCCTTAAAACACCTCCTTATTAACTTTTAAAACCATAATTTGTGCATGTGTTTGTGTGTGTACATGTACGTGTACGTGTACCAGTACTAGGGCTTGAACTCAGGGTCTTGAACTTTCATTTGGCTTATTTTGCTCAAGGCTGGTACTACACCACTTAAGCCACAGCGCTATTTCTGGCCTTTTGGTGGTAAATTGGAGATAAGAGTCTCAGGGACTTTCTAGCCTGAGCTGGCTTTGAACTGAGATCCTCAGATCTCAGCCTCCTAAATTCTACGATTACAGCCTCGAGCTACTGGCATCAGAAAGCACTTTAACTTGGTGCCAGTGGCTCATACCTGTAATCCTAGCTACTCAAGAGGCTGATATCTGAGAATCACGTGAGACTCTTATCTCAAAAACAAAAACAAGGGGCTGGGAAGGTGGCTCAGTGGTAGAGTGCTTGCCTTGCATGTATCAAAGCCTGAGTTCGATTCCTCAGCACCACATAAGCAGAAAAAGCCGGAAGTGATGCTGTGGCTTGAGTGGTAGTGTTAGTCTTGAGCTGAAGAACTGAGGGACAATGCCCAGACCCAGAGTTCAGGCTCCATGACCAACAACCAAAAAAAAAACCCAGAATTATAGCTTGTGACTCATGTAGCAGCATCCAGGTCCTGAGTTCAAGCCCCAGGACTGGCATTTATAAAAAAAGCTTTCCAATTGGGCGCCAGTAGCTCATACCTGTAATCCTAACTACTCAGGAGGCTGAGATCTGAGGTTAAGGGTTCAAAGCCAGCCTGAGCAGGAAAGTCTGTGAGACTCTTATCTCCAATTAACCACCAGAAAACCGGAAATGGCACTGTGGCTCTGGTGGTAGAATGCTAGCCTTGAGCTGAAGGGCTGAGGGACAATTCCCAGGCCCCACAACTGACAAAAAAAAAAAAAAGGCTTTCCTTACAGGCCAATTAGCAACTCTTAGTGTTTCCATTGGACATAGATTTAGACTTTTATTATTTTTTATTATTAATAAAGCTATGAGGTTAGCTCCCTTGTTGTGTTGGCTTGTTGTGTTGAAAATTTTTACCAGGAGCAAAAAGCAGTCTTGGTTGGCAGAATAACTTCCAGCATGGAATTCCAAAAAAAGTTGCAAAAGATGAAGGTTTGAAATATTTTCTCAAATAAAGTTTCTGAGCCAGGCGTGGTAATGCACTCTGTCCTAGCGGAACTCAGGAAGCTGAAGCAGGAAGATCATAAGTCAGAGGTCAGCCTGAGCTACAGATGGCATCTTTTATACCTAGAACTCTAGCTGGCTATTTCTTAGAAGTTATTTTCAAACACTGTGGTTTGAATGATGAATGGAGGAAAACTAGGAAACCAGGAACTATTTACAGCAAGCAGAAACTCAAGCTGTTTTGTAGCCCAGTCCTCTTCCACCTGTTAATTCAAGGCACTTGGATTGCGGTGCCAGGCGATTCCCCAGTCTTGAAATGAAAATCTGGAGCCTTAAGTAGTCTTAGCTTCCTGTGCTGTAAGAGCCTCCTCCTGAGGGCAGACCTTCCACCCAGGATTGGAGAGCTGTTCAAAACTCTTTGGATGTGTCTCAAAACAGAGCACACATTGCCAAATTGCCTTCCTTATGAAGTAGTTAATCCACACACTGAAATTGTATTAGCAATCTTGCTCAAATTAGTCATTTATTTCTTCAAAAGACAGTCTGATGAAAGCCTTTCTGATATTTACTCTCTCTGGCCAACTTGGTAGAAGAAGGAAGAAGAGGAGGAAGAAGAGAAGAGGAGGAGAAGGACGATCAGCAGAGGAAGTGGGGGGGGGAAGAAGAGAAGGAAAAGGGGGCAGGTAAGGAGGAAGAGGATAAGCAGGAGGAGTAGCAGCAGAAGGGGAAGAGAGGAGGAGGAAGACACATCATGTTAGACATGACAGATTCTATGTCCAGTACCTGAGAAGACTAGCCTAGGATATAGGAAGGCTGTGGCAGGCTGAACTAAGCCACTATATTTTCTACCCTTCTGTGCTTTCTGAGGCGTAATCTTTTGACTCAGCACACACACAGGAATTCTTCCATGAGACTCTCCACCCCACATACACCCCCAACCTGGTCTTGTGGCTTGAACTCTGGGCCTGGGCCCTGTCCCTCAGCTCTTCAGCTCAAGGCTAGCATTCTACCACTTGAACCACAGTGCCACTTCGGTTTTCTGAGTGATTTTTGGAGATAAGAGTGTCACGGACTTTCCTGCCTGGGTTGGCTTTGAGATCCTCAGATCTCAGCCCCCTCAGAAGCTAGGATTACAGGCATGAGTCACAGTGCCTGGCCCATGAGATTCTTATCTCCAATAAACTACTCAAAAAATCAGGAACTTGACACTGTGGCTCAAGTGGTAGAGCGCTGGTATTGAGCAAAAAAGAGCTCAGGGACATTGCTCATGCCCAGAGTTCAGGCCCCAGGATCAGTAAAAATAAATAAACAAATAAATAAAATTATCTGCAAAGAAAAGTTATTTTCAGTAATGGGTCTGATTGCACTATCAAGCATGTTCTCTTAACTTTAATTGGTAAGACGATATTGTCATAAGTTTTAACAAAATCAGTTGGTCAGCATTTATATCAACAGTGGGCTGGGCACTAAAGGAACACAAGGAGAAATAAACACACTGCAGAGTTAAAAGCCATATTCCCAGGCATCTAACTTTACTAAAAGTCAGAGTATAACGAGTTCTATACTAGATGGGTAAATTCACTGCTATGGGAATCCAGGGACTCATAAACACACACACACACACACACACACACACACACACACACACACACACACACACAATGACATTTGAACCAATCCTGACAGAATTTTTTTAATGTGTTCTAGAACAGGCCCTCAAGCTCTTGTGTTCACAGCTGGTATTCTATTACTTAAGTCACACTTCCATTTCCAGCTTCTTTCTAATTAATTAGAGTTTATCAGATTTGTCTACCTGGGGTAACTTTGAACCTCGATCCTAAGATCTCAGCCTCCTGAGTAGCTGGGATTATAGACATGAACCATTGGCCCCTCCAGACTTTCTATAAACCATAATTGTTTGGAGTATGAAATGGAAGTTAATTCTGAGATGAATACAAGGCAAGCAAGGCATCTGTTTTGTGTTTTCTTTGAATATTTATCAGAGATGCTCATAAATTGTTCCCATAACTTGATTCTCTTTGGGAGTTCAAATAATTGAGAAGGTTGGATGTCTGTACTGATTTTTCTCATCTGTGAGGTATCTGGATACCTGGGGACTATGAAGCTAAGCAATCAGACCCTGTAAGACTTTTTTATTGATTGGCCCACACGTACAGCTGCAGAGTTAGACAGCAGGGATGCCCTATTTCTGGTCAAAGCTTGGAACTCTGCCAACAAAGGGAAACACCTGCAATTGAAAAGAATGAAAATGAAGGGAAAAAAACCTTCTATTATCCATATACGTGTATTATATATATATATATATATATATATATATATTTATATTCCTTACAATAGGCAACAAACACATCATAAATCCACATTTCATCTACAGTTCAGGATTTCATATTGAACTGACTTCATATATCTCAGTCCCACATATCCTTGAAAGCCAGCATTTTCTTTTTTTTTTTTTTTTCTTTCAGATATTGGGAATGTTTATTTTAAAGTTTAACAGATCAAGCCATACTACAGGTCCTACTGAAATGCTTAGAGCAAAATAAAAAAACTAAGCGATCTCAATTTTTACAAGCTATTTCAGCCCAAAACGTAGAAAATAATCTATGGTTAGACCCTCATCATTAATTGCTCTCAAACCTAAACACAAGTCTGCAAGTTCCTGACATCTGACGCAGTTTGGTCTTAGCTTCAAGCCTATCTAAGTAAACCTTGGATGTTGAATTGCTCAGGGTGAAGGCCACCCACAGGCCTTGGGGATGGACAGCAATTTTCCTCCACCCTGATATCAGTTTGCTCCAGGATAGGCAATGGGTATCTGGGGGGCATCTGTGACAATCACGTTCTGTTATGACCTCCAGCAGCACCTGCCACAGCAGCAGAGACATGAGGCCCTGGCCAGGGTGCAGGACTGCCTGGCTGGGACCTGGAGACGCCTGCTGGCAGAGAGCAAGCATGGGCATGAGGGGGCTCTCGTGGCAGCTCAGCTCAGCCCCTCCGCACGGGCCTGCTGGGCCAGCCGCCCAGCGATGTCCGCCAGGTCAGCAGCCTTGTCCAGCTTGATGTAGGTGTCAGTGTGGACACGGTGCAGACTAAGCCAGTCTGGCAGCAGCTCAGACAGGAGCAGCAGGTGCTTCTCCATCTCACCTGGGCTCAAAGTGGCACGGCAGCTGCCCACCATTCTGGCACAGGCCACCTCCATGGTGAGTGCTGGGAAAGCCAGCATTTTCAAAGGTGACTCATTATCTCTGCCCCAAACCTATTGTCCTTGTATTCTCTAATTGTGTGTGTGTGACCTATTACCCTTGTATTCTCTAATTGTGTGTGTGCGTGCACACTCGTGTGTATGTATGTGAGAGAGAGACAGACAGACAGACAGACAGACAGACACTCAGGACCTAGAAATTCTTCCTTAGCTTTTTCACTCAAAGCTGGTACTCTGTCATTTGAGCTACCCCTCCACTTTTGGCTTAGTGAATTGGAAATAAGAGTTTCACAGACTTTTACCCAGGTTACCTTCAAAACTCAATCTCAGATCTCACATCCTCAATAGCTAGGATTGAGGATATGAATCACTTGCTCCCAGCTTCTCTGAGCTCATGAATAGTACCCACAATGCACCTAGCCATAAAGTCAAAATTTATGAGTCACCAACTCTTCTTTTCCCTCATTCCTTGACACCTAATCGATCATCAAAACTAACTGCTAGCTAGCCTTCATGGCTCAAATTTGTAATCCCAGCTGCTTGAGAGCTGGAAATCAGTAGGATGGTGGTTTGAGGCACACTAAGGAAACAAATTGACAAAATTCTTATCCCAGTTAGAGGGGAGACATAAATAAGAACAATCTTGGTTCAGACAAGCCTGAGCAAAGAGGCAAGACCCTATCTGAAAAATAAGAGCAAAAAAGGCTGGAGTTGTGGCTCAAGTGGTAGAGCACCTACCTAGTAAGTTTGAAGACTTGAGTTCAAAATCTAGTACCACTAATATACGTATATAATATATATTCATAGATATTATATGTATACATCAGTATCTATATATATTTATGCTTTGTGTTTGTTTGTTTTTGTCGGTTGTGGGGTCTGAACTCTGGGCCTGGGCACTGTCCCCCAGCTCTTCAGCTGTAGACCAGCGCTCTACCACTTGAGCCTCAGCCCAACTTCCGACTTTTTCTGCTTATGTGGTGCTGAGGAATCGAACGCAGGGCCTCATGCATGCAAGACAAGCACTCTACCACTGAGCCACCTTCCCAGCACCTATATTTATCTATGTATAAGTAGAAAAATAGATAACTATATATATCTTTAGATAGATAGCTATAGATGCATATCTATCTATCTCTCTCTCTGTATATATATATATATATATATGTCAATAGATAGATAGATAGATATCCATCACCTCCTTGGTATCAGTAGTATTCTTCCTTAGTCACTTTTCCATTTTTCTCCTGCTGACCTAGTTCAAACCCACTTCATTTTATTTTTACCTGAAATTTGCAGCAGTGTGTAATTGGATTTCCTTCCTCCTGTCTTTCCCCTTCTTTAATCCATTTATCCCCTTGTTGCCAAGCTGATCTTTCTAAAAAAAGATATAAGATCAGTTGTTCCAGACACACTGTGAAGTAGCTAGCTTTCTTGTCCTCTTTCTTTCTATTCTCTGTGTGTGTGTGTGTGTGTGTGTGTGTGTGTGTGTGTGTGTGTGTGTGTGTGTGTGTGTGTGTGTGTGTGTGTGTGTGTGTGTGTGTGTGTGTGTGTGTGTATGCTGGTCCTGGACTTGAACTCAGGGCCTGGGTGCTGTCCCTGAGCTTTTTTGCTGAAGGTTAGTGTTCTACCACTTGAGCCACAGCTCCACTTCTGGATTTTTCGGTAGTTTTTTTGGGAAGAGATAAGAGTCTCAGGAACTTTCCTGCCTGGGCTAGCTTTGAACAACAATCCTCAGATCTCAGCCTCCTGAGCAGCCAAGATTATAGGTGTAAGCCACCTGTGCCCAGTTTCTTTCTATTCTTAATGGAAAGTTCAATTTCTAATGTCAGTGTTACCTCTGTCTCTGTGTCCCCTTACCTCTTTTCAGGGAGTTAGACATGGTATCTCATTTGGAACTGACAATGCTTTCATATTGACCACATTCAAGCCTCTGCTGCCCATGAAAGTATTCAAGCCAGGTGAAGTGGTTCACACCTGTAATCTCAGCACTCTGGAGATTAAGGCAGGATGATCACAAGTACAAAGACAGCCCTGGGCTACATCGTAAGATTCTTTCCAAAAAAGATAAAACAAATAAAGGACATTTATTCCTCTTTTCCACATACATGCACACAAGTAAATGGGTCATTTAGTTATAAGGAGGTCAAAGTTAATCTGGAAGGGAAAAATTTCCACAATTAGCTTACTCAAGATAAGAAGAATAGATTGTGTGTGTGTGTGTGTGTGTGTGTGTGTGTGTGTGTGTGTCTGTGTCTGTCTGTCTGTCTGTCTGTCTGTATGTGTCTGTGTGTGTCTGTATGTGTGTGTGTGTTGGTCTTGGAGCTTGGACTCAAGGTTTGGACCTTGTCCCTGAGCTCTGTTGCTCGTCTATTGTTCTACTACATGAACCACAGTTCTATTTCCCGCTTTTTGGTGGATAATTGGAGATAAGAGTGTCACAGACTTTCCTATCCAGGCTAGCTTTGAGCCATGATCCTCATATCTCAGCCTCCTGAGTAGCTAGGATTACACATGTGAGCCACTGGCACCTGGCAAGAAGAGACTTTTAATAATAAAGCTCTAGGGCTGGGAATGTGGCTTAGTGGTACAGTGCTTTCCTAGCCTGCATGAAGCCCTAGGTTCGATTCCTCAGTATCACACAAACAGAAAAGGCTGGAAGTGGCACTATGGCTCAAATGGTTCAAGTAGTAGAGTGCCTTGAGCAAAAAGAAGCTCAGGGACAGAGCCCAGGCCCTGAGTTCAAGCCCCAGGACTGGAAATAATAATAATAATAAAGATTTAAACTTAGAGCCTGTGTGTGTGTATCTGGAGCTTGAACTCACAATCTCTCATTCTGTCTTGGCTTTTTCACTCAAGGCTGGCACTTTATTACTTGAGCCATACCTTCTTGGCTTTTTGCTAGTTAATTGGAGATAAGAATCTCACAGACTTTTCTGTCTGGGCTGGCTTTGAACTGCAGTCCTCTGATCCCAGCATCCCAAGTAACTACAATTATAGGAGTGAGCCACTGGTACCAGGCTAAAGTTAAAGCCTCTTGTATTATGGTTTTCCTGCAAACTTCCATGAGGTTTTGCCAGCAGTCCAGTTATAGCCTCATCTTACTGTCTACTAGAAATGGTATTCTTCCTCTGTGTGTACCAACCACAGCCCTGCAAGTTTTTATATCCAGGATTGTAGTTCAAAGCCAGCCTAGATAGGAAAGTCCATGAGACTAATCTCCAGTTAACCAGGAAAAAGCTGGAAGTTGAACTGTGGTTTAAATGGCTCAAGTAATAGAGAACCAGCCTTGTGCAAAAAAGCTAAGCAACAATTCAAGGCCCAATGGAAACATACACACTAAAAGCTTGAAAATTCGACAACTCCTGCGTATCTGAACTAAGGAACACTGGGATGTTCACTGGTGTATTGTTGATTGAACAAAAACCAGGAGAACTATGGTTTAGGAGAACTATGGTTTATTGTTGCAGTAGAATTCTATACATTAATAAAAACAAATCTACTAACATCTGTCAGAATAAACAAATCTCCCAAATACAAGACAACACAGCAAGGGAAATGGGATGAGGTTGGGGCCACACCTATAGCATTGTGTTGTTATTTGTAGAAAGTAAATGAACAAATGCAAAAAAAAGTGATTAATGAAATTCCTGTGAGTGCATGGGATTTTTTTTTGTGTATAACTTTTCTGTGTGTTCCAGCTTTTCAGACTTCAAATGTGTTCAATGAGTCATTCCTGCAGAATATCTATCTACATGCAAGAGCAAAACATTTTCAACTTTATCTTTCCATCAGGAAGCAGAAAAATAACAGTTAATAAGACCACTTCCTCTTATTTAGAAGGAAAATATTGGTCAGAATTTAATGGCTCAGGGAATGTAAACATTCCAATGATGAGTGTTTGGGTGAGGTATTGGAACATTATCCATTTTTCCTTCCACTGTTTTCACAACTAATAAGTTGCATGCCCTGAAAACAACACTGAAGTCTAGTCTAGATTCATTAAGCTCTCCTGCCATTCATTC